GCATTTTGTGTAAAAAATGTGTCTGAAACTGAAGTGGGCAGGATTCAGATTGAGAGTAATGCCTGTTGATTTTTTTTTTTTCATAGATACTTCATTTCAGTAACAGGGGCCTCATTAACTGCAGTGTTCATCAGGCCAGTGAGCAGTGGGCACATTAGGGGTCCACAGGAAGTTAGAGTACAGCAGGAGAGTGCATTAGGGAGGCCTGGGGAGACACACACTCTCTTACCCTCGGTTCCTCTTCCACCTCCTGTGCTTTTCTATATCTTAATGTACCTTTCAGAGGAATTCAGATAGAGGTCAATAATTATGCTCTTTAAATTATTCAGTCGAGGTCTTCTGTAATTGGGCTTTTTAGAGCTCGGACACTGACAGCATGGTTTACTGCACCACTTTTGGGGCACGATCCAGGCAGATGGATTACTGTAGAGGAGGGATGTAACAGGAGATCTCATAGCACAAGATGCCACGATATTTGAAATGCTACATTATTTCTCTTCGAAGTGAAACGTATCACTCAAAAAGTGTGCTGCGGCTCGCTCTTATTTTGAAGAAAGCTGGGAAGTGGTTCTCGAGTCACACTGTTGTTTTGACGGAGCCAGCTAACAGTGTTTTTTCGTCCGACAATTGATTACAGAATCTCCGTCACTTTTAAATCTTTTAACAGCAATCAGTTCTCGTACTTAAAGGGTGATAGATAAAATACTAAAGATATGTAGTCACTGAGAATACTGAAACCAGCTCACAGCTACCTGCTAATAATGCTAAAGTTGACATCTGCTTTGGAGTTTTTAGTGACACTAAATTAAGGTGACCTTTCAATATTTTTAATGAGTCTGGAATGTATTTGATCATCTTTAATTCAAAATCTAAAATGCTTATTCTGATCTGACTGTGAAAATACCACGACTGGTTAATCATTTTCCTCTAAAAACACAAAATCTTTCATGTGCATCTGACTGGCAAACCAAAGGAAAACGAAATGATCACACCTGAAACAAGATAAGTCTACTCTGGAGAGGGAACACTTAAAAGCTGAAGATTTTTTAAACTCTCATTGTGAAATTACAATAAGGTGAAATTTGCCACTAAGTCAACATAAAAATCAGATACAAAACCACCAAAAATGGAAAAGTTAAACCTCAATTATTCTGTGCTAAATACAAGTTCTTTAAAACACACTTTATGACTCATAAATTTTTTTTTTTTCAAAAAACAGGAAAAAATGACTAATCTCAGTTTGGCTAAAAAGTTTTCAAAAATGCCTTCTTTTTCTCACAAACCTGGAACTGTATGTTACATTATCTTGACTTGTGATTTCCCTCTCAGCATTTCTTTTAAACATTGCCTCTGCACTGCGTGGTCTGCGTCCGACATGTTGATGTCAGCCTCCACAGCGAGCGGCTGTGTGGGAATGTTTAGTTTGCGTCGATGCTTGTTATTTTTATTTTGTTGGCGAGAGGGAAGCTCAAACTGCAAGGGTAGCAAAAAGAAAAAATCCTCAAACTTTC